ATGTCTATGATAATAAAATCCTTTTGTTTAAACTTTATCTAATTTAACTTTTTTGTATTCATGTCTATGATAATAAAATCCTTTTGTTTAAACTTTATCTAATTTAACTTTATTTAACCAATTTCTAGAAAGTTGCATGTAGATCATTTTTCGAAAAATAAGGCCATAAACAAGTTTCACTTCTTACGTGTGTACACTAGTACACGCACACATTTTTTTTTATAAGGTTATAAAGTTGTCAAACGACAACTTTTTAACCTCCCTATTACAAAGTCCGTAACACACTACCGCAACGCACCTCAAGGTAGGTGCACTGCACCATTTGAATCACTCTCACTTGAAAGCGATTCAAATTTTAAACTTATCAAGGGATCCCGTGATAAAAAAAACCTTCAGAACGTTTATTTAATTACAAACTTCATTCCTTGTGACTTCCTCTTGTGACTTAATTTAACGAATTTACAATTTTTACTTGCTACGGAATAAAAAACTATTTTATTTAAATAGTTCCGAAGAGAGATTTTGTCGGTAACCTTTTTCCCGAAATATCTAAACAGAATGTCTAAATATGTTTTGATGACACATTTTATTAAGAGATATTTATGATTAGTGTCATGATTCATGATCAATAGATTCCGGATTTTCGATCGATTTTTCGGATGAGTGCTCCATAATGAATTTAAATATATATATTTTAGATAATATTTTGGGGCATCGACTTTCTTGAGACCCTATAAAATATGTTTTAATTATTATTTCTGTATGTTTTAAGCGGGGTAGGATGATAAAATAAGAAATTTTATATAAACGATTGTTTGTTGTTATTAAATCGATATTAAAGTCAATAAATAATGTACAACCCAAAACAGACGGCTGAACTGACGTGACAGTGACATTTGGTGCGCCATGTTTAGCGAATTTTCGGCCTCATTAGACATATTTTAAGGCTTCGTCAAACAGAACGCGTAATTAGCGCGCGTCAGAGCGCTAAACTAACGCTGCGCTATGGCGCCGAGATGTGTTCTACTACTATGGTAACATACCGTCAAACAGAGCGCCAGCGCCATAGCGCTTAGAGCTCAATAGCGCCAGCGCTATAGCGCTTATATGTTACCATAGTAGTACAACACATCTCGGCGTCATAGCGTAGCGCTCTGACGCGCGCTAATTACGCGTTCTGTTTGACGAAGCCTTTACGTATATCCATATTTCATTTTATGTACGCACTGAAATACTGTTATATTGTTTTCCTGCGAGTTACAGTGCTGAGTAAGAACGAGATAAATATATGTTTATGTGTGTGCCTTCAAAATGGGTGCTATTTATATAAGCAATTGTACGAATAGAACAATATGTCGTGTCCTACTATATAGGTCTATGGGCCGCACCCTTCTCAAACATAAGTGTATAATCTATGTTTTCAAATATTAAGTGTAGATATAATCTGTCTCACTGAATTTGGTCTCCCCTTATTGATTTTCGGATTTTTTTAATTTTTTGTTATTTGTTCGTTAATGTTCGAACGTAAAAATTGTTTGTTCGTCTTTTATTTATTTATAATTAATTAATCAAAATTAAATGATCACTCTTAAGTTGGCCCCGTTTACTAGACATTTTTATTTTTATCGCTTAGATTAATTTATTTTGATTAACTATCGTTTCGACTATTGGTGATTGTTCGATCATAAAAACAATTAAATTCCCAATTAATAATTAATTTATATCTAATAAGCAAACCATCACCTTTTACTGGTGGTAGGACCTCTTGTGAGTTCGCACGGGTAGGTACCACCACCCCGCCTATCTCTGCCGTGAAGCAGTGATGCGTTTCGGTTTGAAGGGTGGGGCAGCCGTGAGACCTTAGAACTTATATCTCAAGGTGGGTGGCGCATTTACGTTGTAGATGTCTATGGGCTCCAGTAGCCACTTAATATCAAGTGGGCTGTGAGCTCGTCTACACATCTAAGCAAAAAAAAAAAAACGCCTGCGTTGCGCATTAAAAATTAAAAAAAATGCGAAAATGAAAAAAAGGGGGCCAAATTCAGTAAGCCATATAATCTACCAGGCTATAAACTCCAAAAAAAAATGTGTATAATCTATGCACTGGGCAGCCATTTGTAATATTTCCCGTTCGTTGCCAATTGATTGAGTACAAAAAAAATATTTGGCGAAAATGTTGAAATCCGCATCAGGTGCGTTTGCAAATGTCCTTAAAAGATCATTAGTTCCTGCCGTAAGGGTCAGCGCCGTATCTGTACGGAGATCACACGGAGGTCCAGTGGAAAGTGACGAAGAATTCGATAACAGGTTAGTAGATAGTTCGATACTAGTCATTATGTAATTGCAACTGCAAAATAGAAAAATGTAGTTGGCTCTATTATTTACATGATTATACTAACAGAAAGAAACATCACCGTTAAATAGTCAATAGAATAGAAGTCAACTTGTAAACAAAAAATGTCGATTTCTTATCAAATGTATGCTAAAAGGGCTCCAATGTTCACAAAAGTAAGTAGAAATAAATCCTGCTCCAGTTTTGCCCTTATACAAAACTTGTCATTTTTATGCCTGACCAAACGAGTGTGTCGAATTATTAGAAAACCATCCATATTAGTTTTTTAAGCATACAGTATCATTTATGATAAATTCGTTACTTGAAAATTACAAACCTTAAATAAAAAAGTATAATTGAAAATGTAACTGGTTTTCACACTTCATACAGTTGTTCAATACTGAAGATCACATAACAATCTCTTCATGCTTCACTTGAAAACTCATAAAATTTGAGAATGAATAGTAAAACAATTATCAACTATGTCTATAATTATCTATGATTTAAAAACTGAAAATCCAATATGAACATTGTCTTACAGATATGAAGCATATTTCAACAGAAAAGACATTGATGGTTGGGAAATCCGCAAAGGAATGAATGACCTCTGTGGTATGGATCTCGTTCCCGACCCAAAGATTATCAAAGCTGCCCTTCATGCATGCAGACGAGTCAATGATTATGCCCTTGCAGTCAGGTTTATAGAAGCCTGCAAAGACAAATGTGGAAACAAAGTGAATGAAATCTACCCATACATCATTCAAGAGATCAAGCCTACTCTCACCGAACTGGGTATTGACACACCTGAGGAGCTTGGCTACGATAAGCCAGAACTCGCTTTAGAAAGTGTTTACCACATGTAAAGCTGTTGACTTATGCTGTAGTAAAATTAAAAAATAGTTTTTTGTTGTTAACTTTTATTTTACATTTGTGTTGTTATAAAGAGCAGAGTATTCCAGAGCTACCGCTTTAAACAACTATNGCCTACTCTCACCGAACTGGGTATTGACACACCTGAGGAGCTTGGCTACGATAAGCCAGAACTCGCTTTAGAAAGTGTTTACCACATGTAAAGCTGTTGACTTATGCTGTAGTAAAATTAAAAAATAGTTTTTTGTTGTTAACTTTTATTTTACATTTGTGTTGTTATAAAGAGCAGAGTATTCCAGAGCTACCGCTTTTAACAACTATTCTGATGTAGAAATACACTTACATTGGATTTGTATATTTTGGGTTTTATTGTGAATTCCTGTATCTCTTTAAATTATATTATTTAAAAACCTAATTTAAAAGGCTTTATAATAAAATGAAAGTGCTATCCCAAAGAAAAACTTACCATCTCTATGTTATAGATTACTAAATTACTCAGGAGTAAAGATCAGGTTACAGATAACTATGTAACTTTAAACAGTTATATCATTTTTAAATATAAAAACAAGCTGGATTAGCCCCTAAGGCTACCAGCGAATAGGTAGGTAAAGAGGAATAAAAATGAAGTAGCCAATTTGACAATTCAACTTAAATTTTGAATCCAGAACGTAGGCTTGTTTGCTCAATTTTGTTAAGCTTATAACAATTTTCCAAGCAAATGGTAAATAAAAATTAAACCCATAAAATTCATAAGATTGCTTATTAGTCAATTAGTCAATAGCCCTGGAAGGCAGACGATCATAATAACCACCTTATAGTATAGTCAGATGCTCATACCCAATGCTAGGGAATTCTGGGCCACTAGCTACTGCATAAGACTTATTAAAAACGCGTTTGAAGAAGGATGTTTTAAAGTGTTAAGGAGACTAGAAGAGTCAATTCCAGAGCAAAGAGGTAAGTAAGTGGCTGTAGTTGAAACTGGGCGTGCGTCGGGACACCTGGTGTACGTCACCAGACCGAAAGATGCGGTCGAATTTTAAATGATTTGTATAGAAACTGCTCCGCCGTTCAAACAGCAAAGTGTTAGTTTCCGCAATGGAAATAGGCAGGATGACGACATATTCTGCCGCCTATTTCTGCCGTGAAGCAGTAATGCGTTTCGATTTGAAGGGCGGGGCAGCCATTGTAACTATACTGAGAACTTAGAACTTATATCTCGAGGTGGGTGGCGCATGTACGTTGTAGATATCTATGGGCTCCAGTAATTGCTTAACACCAGGTGGGCTGTGAGATCGTTCACCCACCTAAGCAATAAAAAAAAAACTGCCTGTGCGAGTCTACAATACGGTTTACTACCAGAAATTTTAAAAGGGAAGCCTGTGCAATCAGGACAGTGCTGACATCTGTAAGATTTAAATCGTATTTGTACTAGACATGTGTAAGTAATGCGAGTGATATTACTCGGGTAATATTACTCTACGATGTAATGCAACATCACACATTACGCGAAGGAAACAAACATCACACTATCACCCAACATGTTTCTTTCTTTGTCGTGTAATGTTGCTTAATAAACGAACGGAACAGAGCGAGCGAGACAGACCGATCGACGCAAAATAAATGAGCAAGCGACACGGAATTATTCCTAGTGATTTTGAACCGTATGTCCTGGCCGCTAGGTACATTTTTATACCTATGGTACGTATGAATTTTAATATAGGTATTTGTGTTTATATTTTTCATTCGGCCAGCCGGTAGTACTTACTTAATTTTTTATTCGCAACTTTTGTAAAATCGCTAGTCGCTCGTAATTGTTTAGTAATATTTCATATTAATTTTTGTGTTTGATTTGAATTACTTAAGCACTTGTTTAAAGATAGTTTTATTATTTGTTTTAATGCGTGTTTAATAAGTGAAAGAAATAACGGCGTCTAAATGAAAGTACAGTCCTCCTTGGATGCACTTTGAGGATATCGCGCCGAAACAATGCATCTACTGCTCTCGTATATTAACATTATTGTCGAGCTCAATTTGCAGTCTAAGTCGCCATATGAAATCCGTTCATCCCACAATAAATTATATTAAGTAAAAAATAAAATTATTATATTATTAAGTAAGTCAATCTCTGTCAAGTAATATAACAGTGTATTACAATACAAAGTTC